GGTAGATGTTGGGTTGAGAGTGGGTGTTTGGGTGGTAGGGGGGAGTGTGGGTTGGAGTCTTGGGTGGGGGGGTGGGGGGGGTCTTAATTGTGGTTGTTTTTTTTGATTGGAGGGGGGGGGGCGTTTTCGTGGGGGGTGGGGGGCTCATAAGCGGCAGTTTATGGTATGACCCTTTCGTAGAAAAGTTGGCAAAAGGTTTGGTTCGTCTTTTACGACCTTTATGAAATAATATATTTTTCCAACTGCAAAGACCACTCATAGCTAACCTTCACGTTCTTTTAAAGGCTTCCGGACCCAAAAGACACCAAGAATCCATACCCTTTTGGGAGTGAGGGGGGTTTCTTTCACTAGCATCCAGTTGTAAATCCTGACTTGGATATGCAATAAAGAAATTGGAAAAAAACTATGTTCCAGCAATTCTGGGACATTTGATCTCCCGTGTGACTTTAAGTTACGTAATCTGTTTCAGTGCAATTTAAAGCTATCAGCTAGAAAAGATAGCCTGGTAGTTTTTATCTCATTTGTTTCACGTTCTTTCACAAAGCAAACACTCCAAAACAGATAAGCATGATAAGCACCTGGTATGTTGATGTTAACGAAAACCAGCTGACAGGGATGCAGGCGCTGATGTAGGATAAATACTGACCGATTTCCTACAATGTAAACGAGCGCCGAAGGCGCAAGCTTCTAGGGGGGTCCGGGGGTAGGCTCCCCCAGGAAATATTTTGATTTTAACTCCTTAAAGTCTCCTTTCCTGGGTTTCCGAGTCATTCAGACAAGATATTGGCCAGATTTCAATTTGGGAAGTGTTTTTTATTATTAAAATGTATTTACTATGAATAATCTGTCCGATTTCCGTAAAACGGTGGAAGCCGGTGTGGATCCGCGCCTGCTATGAATTAGTTTCACTCCTGGTTTTTATGCTAGATTTTTAAGGAAAAGAAACACACACACGCACGCTAATCTGAGTTTCAGGCCTTTACACTACTACATGAGAAATTTCTGCAATTTGATTGGCTTAGAGCAGTGGTATTTCAGCTTAATTTGAAATACCCTAATAATAGCGAGATTTGTACCTGATATTTGGCATAAATACCACTTGTGATATTTCAGAATTGTCTCAAATTTCACTCGTCTAACGGCTCGTGAAATTACGTATAACAATTTTGAAATATCACTCGTGGTATTTATGCCAAATATCACTACAAATCATGCTATTACCTATACTAATAAGTGGTAAGTGGAAATTAAGACGAAACAGTGGGGCGAGAAAAGAGGGAGAAAGTCCTGACACACAAAGGCATTCTTCTTCTCTTCACTGCCTCCCTTTCCCTCTAGAAAAGCCCAGGCAAGTAAAAAGCATCAGCGGTTAGAAAATGCATTTTCTGGTCATGTGATGTGCTACTTTCCATGTTCCAGAAGGTTGTTGAGATAGAAGTCAATCGGTCCCACCCAGTGTAACGTTTTACCTGGGTTTTACCACCTACTGAAACGCTTTTCCGTTTTCCCAGTAGTAGCTGTTATTGATTCTCTTTTTTTCTATGGTAGTAGTTTCTCTATTCTCCATAGTAGAAGTTGTAATTGAGTCTTTACTATTAATTTTTATTTTAGATGATTGACGACTTTGATGTTTGAGCATGGCAGCTGCTTTACAGAAGGCTCAAACGCATGATGACCGAGTGCATGGAGCTCGCAAAGTGAAAGTCACTATTTTGGGATCTGAATGGGGACCAAGTAATGAGGGACTTTCCACCATAAACAGAGAATTAGCCATTCAGTTAGCCAAGTGCCCTGAAGTGGAAATCACTTTCTTTTTACCAAAATGTAGTCAAGAGGATAAAAAAGTAGCCCTAGATCACAAAGTAGAGATCGTAGAGGCAACGCCTATGCCTGGCTTTGAAAAACTGGATTGGCTTTGCTTTCCGCCGAAAGATTTGCAAATCGACATTATCGTAGGTCATGGAGTTAAACTCGGTAAACAAGCACAAGTCATTAAAGACCTTAAAACGTGCAAATGGTTCCAAGTGGTACACACAGACCCTGAGGAGCTTGGGATGTTTAAAAACTTTTCTAATCCAATTTCAGAGGGGGAAGAAAAACACAAGACCGAAGTAGAACTGTGTAAAATGGCTGACCATGTTGTAGGAGTTGGTCCCAAGTTGAGCGACGCCTTTCGCTCATATCTTCGTGGCTGTAAAAAAGATGACCATGTTCTTGACTTCACTCCTGGGGTACTTGAAGAGTTTGAGGCTGTAAATCAGGATCCTAGCGAGAGGCAGCAACGCAGTGTCCTGGTGTTTGGTCGTGGAGACGTAGACGATTTCAAATTAAAAGGGTTTGACATTGCCGGGAAGGCGATTGCCGCCTTACAAGATACTCGTCTTATGTTTGTTGGGGCATCGGATGGAAAACACGAAGAAATAGCAAAGCGGTTAATCGAGTGTGGGGTTCCTGCAAGTCGACTGAGAGTAAGAGGATTTGCTCAAGACCGAGAGAGTTTGAAGCGCTTATTCCAAGAAGTGGATCTTGCAGTCATGCCTTCGAGAACAGAGGGCTTTGGACTAACAGGACTCGAGGCAATGTCAGCTGGTCTCCCTGTGCTGGTCAGTCGCAATTCTGGTTTTGGAGAAGCACTGCGCAGTGCAGCTTTTGGTTCATCATTTGTAATTGACTCAGAGGACCCAGCAGTGTGGACCGTAGCCATCCAGAATATCTTGTCCAAGGACAGGGAATGTCGACTTGACGAAGCGGTGACCTTGCGTGATTCCTATGGCAGGAAATACAACTGGGCCAAACAGATAAAAGAGTTAGTTGACAAGATGAGCAGCCTGACTCATGGTAGGAATGTCAATTATATTTTCTTCAGTGGCACATTATCAGGTAACAATAGGGAGAAAAATCAAAAGAGACAGAAATAGGATTGCTTGCAAGTTTTGCCCTGAAGTCTTGATAAAAATGTTCTTGAATACCTATTTGAACCTTATGTTAAAAACAGCAAAACTGTAACGTTTGTAATTTTTCAGGTACATTGTTTTCAGCGAAATGGTTTGTGGAGAGCTGTCGTCATACCCTTCGGTCATAGGCTTTATCTGCAGCACTTCACACTTATGCTTATAGTTATGTTTTCTCCATTTTGTAGCAACAGAAGATTCTCGTAAGGCCCGGAGCTCCTTCGAAACAAAGTGCAACGCCTCTCAGAGGATGGAAAGCATGACTGAGGACCATGAAGGTATCTTCGTAGAAAGCATGCGTAGAAATCATTTCTTTCTGTTTTTAACCAAGTGGGAGAAGCGCGGGAGGCGTGCGAGGGCGAGCAAAAAGTAGGGACGGGGAGAGAAACGAAACGTCGGCCGCTGAGCTTCTATCCCAGGAATACACAACCTAATATATTATGCCCAACAAATGTCCGCCCGGAGAGGAATGTGCACACCTGGAATTGACTAAGTTAAGTTGATTAAGTTTCAAAGAGATTATAATTGTAACCACTGAGCTTGTTTTTGCGGAGCCTTCAACAGAAATTGACAACAACCAAAGAACAAACTCTTATCACAACGAGCAGCTTGTTTCAGAAACGTCACTTAGTAGTGACTGTGAAATGAAAGCTGAAGCTGCACCAGGAAATCCGACTAAAATATCCACGAATATAGACTCTCCCTTTCATAATAGCCGTAAGCGTAAAATGTCAGAATTCTCTTGTAATCCAGATATGCAAAAACATGAGTTGTTTCTTTTGCTATTGCTGACTAGTGCACTACTATACCTAAAGGGGAGAAGTGACTGTTAGAGCATTCAAAGGTACTTTTTCGTACAGGACGTGATACCGTTTTTGCTCGTACTATAGACGTGTATTATTTAGAACAGTAAAAGTTATATAGCCCCGATACCAACGGACGCTTGATGTGCGTCATTTTCATCAGCGGTTAAAAAAACGTTTTTAAATAAGTATTTAAATATATAAAAGATACAAATATGGCGAGCACTAAAATTAGAAAAATTACTTTGCGTACTAAAACTGTACTAACTACATAAAACCTACTAAAATCGAGTGAAAACGTTACATCAAATTACGTAAAAGCTTTGTGGAACGAAAATGGCTCGAGTGCCTTCTTAAAAATCAGGGGCACCCAACGACTGTTTTCTGTAATATATCTGTTGGGAGAAATATATATTGCTTAGTATTTTCTTTTGCTTGAATACGGCTAATAATTTCTAGATGAACGTTACATTCAGGTACTATTTTCCTAGCTTATCTACAAAATTCCCTTCGATTTTCTGAAGTTTAATTTTTTCATATTTTACTTCCTATGTTAAGATAATTTTCGTAGAAAAGGAAACGTAAAATTTTCGGATTCAAAAATGTGATGGGGAGAGGAATAAGAAAAATTATCACTCTTGTAAAACTTTCAATTACATCTAAACTTTTCGGGGAAATAACACAGTAGCCCTTGAAATTTCGAAAATCCTCCAATTCCCGTAGGATGACCGAATAGAGACAAATTTTATAGCGCCACTTAGAATACATTTCTAGAGATCTAATAGTACTCTGGATAGCCTAAAAAGGCTTTTCAGTGCATTTAGGAGGAAACCGTCGTTGGTTGCTCCTGAAAATGGCAATTGGGGGGCTTCTCTATATCGCAAAAGGAAATAAATTCGAAAGTTTAGGAGCAGCAACAGCAAAGGAGCGATCTCCTAACGTGGTTTAAGTCCTGAATTCTCCGCTACGCCGTTAACAATATCGTAGTGACCAATATTTTCAAAAATATATGCGAACAAAATTCCCAATTTTGAAAATTGTATCTTTGATCGAATTGCTATAAGCAGTAACATTTCTTAGACATTCAAGTATATGTCTAATATTGTGAATCTGTGATATCGCCCTAAAGTTTCCTTGTGGGGGCTTGGATGAGTTTGTTAATGCTTTTTGGCTGTGGTGAATTTGCTTGAGTAGACATTCTGTAATAATGAATACCTTGACAAGAGCCGTCTTTTAACTGCAGGTACTTCAAGTGAGGATAGCCGAATCTTTTTTAAGAATTATATGCCCTCCAACATAGCTGAAGATGAAGAAGCATCTTTCCTGGGAAAGGAACCTCTTAACAGCTGGATTATACAAAGTATTCCAGGATCAACTTCTAGTACAGGTAAATGGAACAAGCTAACTATTTTGATAGTTTGGTGCAGTAGTAATGAAGGTTCAGGAATAGTGTTTTTCTTAAAAGATGGCCCACCTGGATATTAAGGGGCAAAAACTTCAAAGTTTTAGCATTTAACAATGATATTAAAAAAAACAGTCACCCCCGTTATACCTCGTTATTTCGGACAATTTCCTTGTCCATGGGTAAAGCCCTTACATTTTCTCTAAATTCTCTTAATACACGGACACCCGTTAATGCGGCCAACGGACTCTTGTTTCTTTCCCAATCAATAGATTATCATGGAATATCAACCTACAGTCGGCGACAAAATTGTTATCAAATAGGTTAACTTCAGAGAACAAAAGAATCCATACCCCTCCCCTGTCCCCTCCATTCAAAGTTGGGGTGTTTGTTGTTTTCTATAGGTAGCTCGACCATCGGCTCAACATTGCATGGAGGGGATGGGGGGAAAGCTATATTTCCGCCTTTTGAAGTCAGTAAAGCGTAAAAAAAAGCCCATTTTAGGGCGAAGTGTCTCAACTCATTACGCGCTGTTGTCCTATTAGCACAGGTTAAGAGACGATAACTAGTTGAGATTACTATATTCACCGGGTCTTTCTTAACAAGCTAGATAGGATACCCTTTTGATTGCGTTGCTGTGCTTTTCGAAGGAGAATTAGTTTTGCCAATCTTTGTACTTGGTAGTGTTTTCCAGTAATTACGCAGCATACCCAGGTACCCAACGATTGATTTTCCTCTGGTATGTAAGCATGGTCGTCAGGAATCGACGGCAGATAATATATTGTTTGTGAATATCTCCCTAGTAAGTTCGAAGTGTTTATTCGAAGTTTGGCTGTTCAAGAAGGGTGTGATCGACGATAAAATGGCCATGATTGCCATGCGCTGGAGAATTATCAGGAAAAAATGTTCCGATTCTAACGCACAGCAAATTTGCATAGCATCGTTACATCTGTGCCGTAGATTAGTTGCCCATATACTTATAAGAGTTTTTGAAGAATGTACTTTACAGTAGAAACTATGAGGTTAGGAGGAGACTGGCCATGAGTAACCAACTTTGGTCTTAAAGATACAGTGAAACCTGTATTAAGCGGACACCCTCGAGGAATGCTGGGGTGGTGGAATTTAATTACAAGTGTCCGTTTAATACAGGTTGGCAACAACAGAAATGACCATTTCAGGTACTTTTTAGGTGTCCGCGTCCGCTTAGTAGAGGTGTTCGCTTAATAAAAGTTTCATTTAAAGTAAATAAGGGAAATAAATTTGGAGGCTTCGGCTACTGTCCTCTTTATAGAGGGTGTCCGCTTAATACAGGTTTCACTGTAATCTAATTATTTTATTTTATACTCATCCCGGTTACTCGTGGTTAATGGTGGAAATTCGTACTAAAAAGTAATTTTACCGATTATTACTGCTTTATTTCCTAGAAATCTATTTCGTTTTCTGTCCTTTTCACTTTGTTCTTTGTTTCGATAAAGGAGCCGAGAATAAGATTGTAGCTAATGCGGACATTTCATTATCAACTTTGTGCTGTAACAGATCTTTCCTTTCTGAAGGTAAAAAAAAATCCTTCACACCGTAATTTTTAGGGAGTTATTATAACTCCAAAAATGGAGTAAAAATTTTAGGTACAGGATAACCCCATTTTTGGGGTTATTTTAACTCCTAATTTAACTCCGAATTTGGGGTCATTTTTACTCCTGAAAAAGAGTTCTTTTTACTCCCAGTCTGGAGTTAAAATTACTCCGAAATGGGGTTACTTGTACTCCTTACATGGGTTGTTTTTACTCTTTTTGGAGTTAATTTAACTCTGAAAGTGGAGTAAAAATTTTAGGTACAGGATAACTCCTTTTTTGGGGTTATTTTAACTCCTCAATATCTGGGGTCACTTTTACTCCTGAAAAAGAGTTCTTTAAACTCCTTTTTGGAGTTAAAATAACTCCACGAAAAATAACTCCACTGTAAGGAGTTAAATTAGCCCCACTAGAGGAGTTATTATAACTCCCTGAAAATTACAGTGTATAGTTTTCACTAAGACTTTAATTGCCCCTAATACAACAAAAACAATCCAAATCAGTATTTTATTTCATCTGAAAAATACTGTACAGTGAAACATGCACGTGTCACTCATTATTGTGTCANCCTTCAGTTTAAAAAAAGGTTTAAAGAAAGGTCTAAAGGCTTATTTATAGTGGAAAGTGCACTTAGCTTACCCAGCTAGTTTACAGGCACTCCACTCAAATATTTAGAAACAAAAACAAATACGTCAAGTACAACATAACAGGAATAACAGCCCCAACTGACAGGAGGTAACCAGTTGGCTATTTACAAGCGTGGCCGAGGATTTTTGAACTCAGGACGACGTAGTACAAATCCTGCAAGTAGCCAGGGCGGGACTCGAACCCTGGACCGCCGGATTGCGAATCCGACGGGCTAACTAACCACTCGGCCACGCTGCCTCCTCAAATCTACCTTATGCAGTTTTGATTAGGAATCTATAGATGAGCGATTTTTAAGTGTTTCCGTGGATTTAAGAAGGTTATTGGTGCTATTAATTTGACGATGCTAATGTCCTCTTTTATTTCCTTAGTACCGTATTTCGTATTTCCTCGAATAATAGTCGTCCCTCGATTAATCGATGCAATTGGCGGGATGCGTGATACGGGATTTGGCTATATATTTTGTGGTGGTACTCGGTATGCGAGCTTAAACAGGAGCGGGAAACGGGAAATTTAATAACACGCGGCGGTGAGATTCCCCGATTTTATGTGGATGGGGTGTGAGAATCGTAAGGACTGAAAAGTAGGGGATAAGGAAATTTTGTTTTGTCGCGGACTGCATTTAAAGGAACTCAAAGATAGGCCTATACAACCTCCTTACCAGTGCATTTGTGGGTGCGTTGCATTATTAAAGCCTTCAAATTTATATATTTTGCACTTGCAAGCAACTCTTTTAAAAATTTAACTTTTTTGTAGATGATCAGAGGCTTTTTATAAATTGTTTTCAGAACAGGCTGATTTTCTATTAGACTTCAGTTTTTCAGCTGGGTGGTATGTAGTAATGAAAGTCAGTTGTCTCTCAACTTTTTCCTTTTTGTTTTCTTTGAGGACCGAACGATTTTTCTGAGTCAAACAAAAATGACCTTTGACAGCCACTTTTCAACTTATATGTGTTAGGATACCCGCGTGCTCCTCGTCGTAGTTTGAAGTTTGTAAGGTCCCCTTTAAATGTTATACCTAGGAACGTTACTACTTATTTACGTCAGTTCATAGACGACAAAAACACTAAGGCTTGAAGGTGGTTTCATATCTCATCAAGGCACCTAACTAAACGACGGGGAGGGGGAAGGGATTTGGAAAATTGTGCGTACCTCTATAAAAATCCTGGCTAAGCCCTGTAACTATATCAATCTTGGATTTAAAAACAATAAAGCACAACCTGTTGTTAATGACATTGAATATTGTAACCACATTCCAAATATAAGTAAGCTTAACAAAAACCAATAGAAAAAAAAACGCACGATATTAAATATGTTAAGAAATGCGGTAATCTTTATCTCTTGTATTGGTATAACAGTACAACTGAACTATGTTTTCTGTATCTAGTTCCCAGAGAGATCAAAGCACGAGGATCAGAAGCAAAGCTTGCTTACCAAAATGCGTTAAGGACTGGAAAGGTAAAGGTGTACCGTGCTCGAATCATATTGGTAGGCCAAGATCGAGCGGGCAAGACAAGCTTAAAAAAATCGTTTTTAGGTCTGCCATTTGACCCTGAGGAAGACAGTACTGACGGAATTGAAGTTGACCCATCAAAATTCGAAGTTCACATCGATCACGTAAAGAACTGGAAACGCACCGATGAAGAGCTAAGTGTGTCTCAATTTGCCTTCGATCTTGCAAATATGGCTGCTAGAGAAATCCAAGAACGAGAAAAAGACAAAGAAGATAATGAAGAGGGCGGCGACGAGTACGAGAAAGAAGAAGAAAAACAAAAAAAAGAAGAATCAAAGCTGGATCAAGATCTAAATACAAACAAACAGACAAAAATGGGTCAGGTTGGTGACTAAAAAAGCAATCTTAAACTAACAAACAGTTGAAACTAGGAAGAAAAAAATATCAGAAATTTATCTTACTTTAAGGTGACTCGACCCAGTTTTTTTGGGGGGGTACCATCTTACTTTGAAGCTCTCTGGTATCCCCACCTTTACGTTTATCGTAAGTCTAACACATAGAATGGATAACATATACATCAATCTACAGTATAACATAAAAGTTTTGGCGATCGGAGTAAATGTCACGTGGTTATAATGCCACGCCCCTTTGAGGTCTGAGTCGAAAATCTGCTGTTGCCGGCATTTTTTCGTGAAAATCTCTCGGCTACACATAGTGCGCATTAGTGCCTTGCGCTGAACAGAGTTTCACCAAAATCGCAAAGACCCAATTCGAGAAATTCAGCGGTTTCCAAATTTAGGTCATAATTTATGCGAAAATGATAAGCAAACTTTACACGGATTATATCTAATAAACTATGAGATTCATCTCTTTATTTTGGGCATCGTTATAACAGATGGGTCCTTGCAAGTCAGCAAAACGCTTTAGGGCCTTGTAAATGCGCGCGATTTCGAGCAAAGCAAACATATAGAAATTATAGTTTTCGCTATTTGTTGACGTTTGTCAGCGTTTAAGAGTCCTTCTCACGAAAAAAGCATTTTCTTAAAAATTCGTAGTTTTTTTTCCTTCAAATTTTTTCAGGGCCACAATTGATTAACTAACTACCCGGACTCTGAATTTCATGGTCATTGAAAAACTGTGACATTATCTTCTATAAGCCCAAACTTGAGTAAACATTGAAGATTTTTAGCGTTTTGGCTGAGTTTGTGCTTTGGGAGTTGTCTATTGTTTCTAGTCTGTCATTATACAGCATTCTTGTTCAGCACGCGTGCAATGACCACGCTTGGCTGACTTCCGAATGCTCACCGAGATATTCCCGTCACGAGTTGGTTTAATTATTGGCTTGCATTAAACCTATGAAAAAATGATATTTTTTTAATAGTAAGTAGATTTAGTGTGTAGCACTTCTTGATTTTTTTGCAAAGGCACAAGAAGCACGAGAATTGATTAAAAATTGTGACTTAAACCTCTATGTATCACGCGATGGCCTGTCTCACTGTACCAAAATTATTATATCTCGGTGAGCATTCGGAAGTCAGCCAAGCGCGGTCATTGCACGCGTGCTGAACAAGAATGCTGTATAATGACAGACTAGAAACAATAGACAACTCCCAAAGCACAAACTCAGCCAAAACGCTAAAAATCTTCAATGTTTACTCAAGTTTGGGCTTATAGAAGATAATGTCACAGTTTTTCAATGACCATGAAATTCAGAGTCCGGGTAGTTAGTTAATCAATTGTGGCCCTGAAAAAATTTGAAGGAAAAAAAACTACGAATTTTTAAGAAAATGCTTTTTTCGTGAGAAGGACTCTTAAACGCTGACAAACGTCAACAAATAGCGAAAACTATAATTTCTATATGTTTGCTTTGCTCGAAATCGCGCGCATTTACAAGGCCCTAAAGCGTTTTGCTGACTTGCAAGGACCCATCTGTTATAACGATGCCCAAAATAAAGAGATGAATCTCATAGTTTATTAGATATAATCCGTGTAAAGTTTGCTTATCATTTTCGCATAAATTATGACCTAAATTTGGAAACCGTTGAATTTCTCGAATTGGGTCTTTGCGATTTTGGTGAAACTCTGTTCAGCGCAAGGCACTAATGCGCACTATGTGTAGCCGAGAGATTTCTCCAAAAAATGCCGGCAACAGCAGATTTTCGACTCAGACCTTAAAGGGGCGTGGCATTATAACTACGTGACATTTACTCCGATCGCCAAAACTTTTATGTTATATTGTAGATTGATGTATATGTTATCCATTCTATGTGTTAGACTTACGATAAAAGTAAAGGTGGGGATACTAGAGAGCTTCAAAGTAGGATGGTACCCCCCGACAAAAACTGGGTAAAGTCACCTAAACAGATCACTTATCAAAAAAAATCACTGGCTTTCTTATTCTCATATTAAGATAAATAACCTGCTGTGGACTAGCATAGCAACCATCCTACTCCTTTCCTACCAGAATATTACTATAATATCGTTTCATTTTATCCTTGGTTTAAATTTTATTTTCCTTTGCTTTTTGGTATGGTAATGTATGATAATGAGTTTGAACCAAAGACAAATGAAATATACACCAAGGATACAATTGAACCACAACACGTATGTGAAAAAAATTTGTAGCATTTAATGTGTTCCTTTGTTAAAATGTAGAACTGAGATGACTAATGTGATTATTTATCTTCTTTTCATAAACTTGAAGTTTGGTTTTGACGACTCTGGAGAACCTTGGTTGTTAAAACCGACAGTGGGTAACTCACAGGTGAATCAGGTCAGTTCAAAACGTTTCTCTGGCTGCTGCCTCAATTACTCTGAAAAGTAGTTTATTTAAAACTTCCTGTCAAAAGAATTCATTAGAAAGTGAAGGTGTGGGATGAATTTCAAATTTGGTCAGCCTCTATGAAAAATATAGGAGATTGTAGTTACTATAGTATGTCTTTTAGTTAACTGGAATGTTAAAAGAAAACGAAAATTTAGCGTTGTCGTAGATACAGGTTGTTTGTTATATTTTTCAAAATAGGTATCAGTTCGACAATGCCACTCCTCTCAATTAGACTTACAGGGGTAATCATTGCAGAGTAAGCTTCCTTGTACCTAGGCGCCACACTCACCATGACAGTAAAGTAGGGCTGTGGAGTGGTAAAGATTGTAAGTCGACGGCTTTTCAATAACTGCAAATAGGTATACTTACACCGTGTGTGCCTTAAAATTAACTCGCTGAACTTCTTAACTAACACGTGACTTTTACATATAATCATGGAGAGTTTGGGGGCCGTAAATGAGAGCTAACCTTCAAGTCGTTCTCAGGAGTTTCACCCGGGGAGGGTTACTCCCTTATATAAGCGAAATAGGTATGTGCCGCCCCATCGGGTAGAGTTTTTGCGCCTTTTTGGTCTGGAATCGGGAATGGTTTTCGAGGGAACTACGGGAGTGTATGAACGTATTTATCGTTGCAATTCCAAATGAGTAAGAAAGAAAGAGAAATATATGAATTCTAAATGGATTTGAAGAATTTTTTTGTTTGTCACTAATCTTAGTAATAATGACACAATTTCTGCCTAAAGGCCAGGTCTGAAAACGGGTATGGATTTTAGAGGTTTGGTCTGAAAACGGGTGTGGAAAGTGACGTTTTTTGGTCTGAAATAGGGTCAGGATTTGAAGAACCAGGCGGCACACCCCCACCAAGAATTCCCAGGAGTACCCACCCCGGGGAGTTTCATCGGCAGAAATATCCGTAAGAGGCGAGTTGAGCGAGCGTTTTAGTCTGTTATTAAAGCGGCCGAGCAGAGGACGTTTCGTCTCGCTTGAACGGTTTTCATTTGCGTTTCGTGCCTAAAAGTGGGAGTTGTGCGACTCGCGTTTCGTGTCTAAGGTTGCATTTGAGACCTGTTTGACTTAATTGGCGGAATGTATTGCAGACCTTCAGGTTCTCAGACGAGGACGACTACAAGGACGAGATACTAAGTAGTTTTCGCGCGTCAGCCAGCGTCATTTTAGCGGGAAAACGTGATAGCCGTTGTCATGCTACTACGAGTTTTAGCGAGAATGTCGTGGCGGAAACAAGTTATCTGGTCTGGCCGGGAGAGATGTTTTGTTTCTAGCCAAACCGGGAACTGGGAAAAGTCTATCTACCCTTTGAGTTGTCTCCTGACGCTTTTGCTCGTTTACTTGGCCGAGAACTACGATGTGCCCTGTGGGTGAATGTTCTGCAAAACTGAAGAAAAATTATGTTTCTAGCTTCAAATCCCGTGGCACTAGAGCATCATAAATTGGAGAAGTTTGTTCGGAACAACAGCTAGAGAATATTTCAAATCAGAACGATAAACTAGTGAAGTGATAAAACTACGGCAATTTCACCCAACATTATGCCTTTCACTTACGCCTTGAATCTCTGTTTGTGATGACTTTAGCACAAACTAGACAAATTTCCTTTTGCGATGATGGAGAAACACACGCACGAGCAAAAGCATTTTTGGGCCGCTAAACCTGGCGCCAATCAAACATGAAAAGTCCTACGTCCCCCTTCCTTCTTTTTCGAAAGTCTAGAGAAGGATCTTTTAACATAACAGGTTAGTGCTCCACCCCCAGTGGTTGTTCTTTGCTTATCGGGAGCTTTATATTCCCCGAGTTCTTTTTCACGAAGTCCTGTTCATTTACCTCAATACAGTAATGAAACCTTATGTTGTTTTATCCCTTCGTCTGTTATTCTTACCTTACCAATCGTGCTTCGCGCCGTGTACATTTCCACTTGCCCATCTGGCGCGATCTCTCGTTTTTATCACTAGACTGATGATGAAATCTCTTGCGTATGAAATGTCATTTTGCTCTGAGAAAGACATTGAAAAGTAATGACCGTCGCTTGCAGCATTTTATGTTGAATGTCAAAAAGGTGCATGTTAACCAAATTTAATTCTTAAAACAATTTCAGGACACATCCAGGAATGGCAGAAAAGAGACAGGTGCCTTAATTGAATTAAACATCGACCCAACTTTGCCCCCAGAAGAGTTTACGGATCATCTCGATCAACTTTTGAAAGGTCTAAACCTTCAGAGTGATGCTACAATAGTTGAACATCACATGACCCTTGATCTGTGGGACTTTGCTGGTCAACAGCTTTACTATGCGTCTTACCCAGTTTTTTTATCCTCACGAGCAGTTTACATGTTGGTTTACAATCTCAGCAAAGGATTAGACGACCCAGCTCAACCTTGTTTCAAACTGGGAGATCGGAATATTCCTCTTAGAAACCCAAATAAGGAAACGAATGTAGAAAAATTGTTGTCTTGGCTGGTTACAATCGGTAGTATTTGTTCAGAACCAGAAATGAGCAAAAACAAAAATGCAATAAAACAACTGCCCTACTGTCGCCCTCCAGTGTTTATTGTAGGAACACATGCGGATAAACGACGTCAAAGAGAAATTAAGAAGATCGAGTCGCAGATTCAGAGGGAACTATCTGGAAACGGCCAACATCTAATTCGCCCCATCTTCGCTGTTGACAATACCAAAGGAGCATCTGATAGGGGAATTGCTGCCCTCCAGAAACGCATGATTGAAGTGTTGAAGCAAGAACCGTACATGGGAGAGGAGGTACCAATTCGGTGAGTTTTAAATGGAGAATTCTGAAGGAATTTTAAAATTTCAGACTTTTTAAAAAATAAAATGAAAATGAAGCGCGAAATTCAATTGCCTTTTTTATGTCTGCCTATTGAAATCGTGAAAGTAAAAGCCCGCGAAATACTGTCTCGCCAGAATTGCATAATTACGTACTCGCAAAAGTTAAGTGCCAATAAGGTACACAATCTCTATAAAGTAGGCAATGTAGCCGAGAATTCTGTGAAAGTTCAATGTGAAGGTGCCTTATATTATAAGGCCTCACAAATTCTTTCCAATTCAAGGTGTACGCACGCGAAGCAATTTTTTTTTAAAGTGTTAATACTTGATCTTTTCTCGATATTAACGTATTTTAAAAGACGTTTAGAAAGTTTAAGCATTCCTGGCCTCAGTTTACCTTACTGTGCCTTTTTTACGTTTAAGAGCCACTTTGATATTTTATTTCAGATGGTTCAACTTCGAGAAGGTTGTCAAAGCTTTGGTTGCCGAGAAATTGTACCACTTAAACATGGAACAAGTTCAGACCATTATCCAGAAACATTGTTTCATTGAAAACAAGGATGAGGTTGCCATTATGTTGAATTTCTATCACGACCTTGGCGTGATTGTCAAACATGGCAACACAGTTGTACTTCAGGCTAAATGGCTCATTAAACTGTTCCAGCAACTTATAACTGTTCGTTGTTTTGATGACATGGTAAGAAACAACATTGGTTGCATTTCCATGCCCTCTTATAGGCTCTAAGCGGGAATTTTACAATCTGATTATATCCCGTGTGACTTGTGTTGACGTTGCGTATTGCACTCTGTTATTTCTGCCCTGACTGGTTCAGTTTATTCTCCTATAGGCAACCGTGCCTCACTTTAGTATTACAGTAGGGATGTTTTAGGACTTTTTTACGGGGGAATCTCGTCATCTCGCGGGGGAATACATCAACGAATATGACCTCATTGCCTTTTGTCTTTCACTGATGAATAAAATTCAGTATTCTCACTTTTGTGTATTCGAAATAAAGTAGAAACAACAGACTATACAGTAGACCTAGCTTTGACCGGTTTTAACCTGGTTGTCGTGTGGTGCTTTAATGTGTTTTAACTGGTTTGACAGGTTTTTCAGTTACCTCTTAGATGGATAATGGTCATAGTATATTTTAAATCATTTGCGTCTTGAGAATTAAAATCACTGAACCGTAACGTAACGCAAAAGAGCAAAACCATCCCTACTATACTACTCACCATATCCTTTCAAAGTCTGAATGTCATCATGCTTCCCGAAAATATTTTTATCTAGTTATTCCTCGCTTGGTAACCAGTAGTTGAAAGCTGTTTTTGTCTTTGTTTGTTTCCCGCTTTTTATATTGTCCTTTCTTTCCAGGAACCGAGGCATTGTGAATTGTGGAAAGAAATGAAGGAAACAGGTGTCCTCAGTATAGAACTTGTTGATGACGTTTTTTCCGAGTTCTGCCGGCAAGGCGTCATCAAGGACGATATCCTTAAAATGATGGAGAAGTTTGGATTGATCGTCCAATTTGCCCCCTCACCAACTGAAGAAAAATACTTTGTACCTTGCCAACTATGGTCACCTCCTGACAGCCTTTGCAAAATGGAGCCATCTCCCGCAGATCCATGCCCACTGTACCTTCACTTTTCGCGAGGTTACGTTCCTCATGGTCTCTACTTGCAGCTCGTGTCACGATGCACCAAATGGTGCTCTGAGAGTGGATTCAAGAAACCCCCTAAATTGTTCGACGGGGCATCTCTGTTTTTCATTGGGAAGGAGCTCACTCACCACATGATGCTTGTGTGCAAGAAAAGATTCATCAGGACCGTTTTGTTGCGAGTAGAACGAAATGATGGGTCCTTAAGTGAGCCGGTAATAGCAAGAGAAGTGCCGACTCTGGTGCGAAAATTTTTAAATGAGACGATGCAAAATCTGCGAGAGACACTTTCTGGTCTCAAAAATTTAGCTTACAAACTGTGTGTGGAGTGTCCTTACTGCCTGAAAATGGAAAAATTATGTGATAACCATGGCCAATTCCCTTGCTGCGACGAGCGCTGTATGTGTTTTCTGGAGGTTGCCCCAGATGGATCGTTCGATTACTGTTCAAACAGCCTTTGTCGTGAAATTCTTTCGCTTCCCGGACTCGAAAGGTGGTTCTCGAGCAGTAGCAGGGACTCGTCGATCAAAGGTGGGGCTGATATGATAGAAAAAATGCCTTTTCAAGGTTTTTGTTCATCTAAAACTGTATGTATTTTTTTGTTACCCAGTCACACGGTAGTAGATGATTTGTAGAAGGGGATTCTACTGCTGCGCCCAATATTGCAAGAATTTTAATAGGGATGGACACTCAATCCAATCTAACCACTGCGTATGTCCCAGCAGACAACATCTGGACCTCGCTAAAACCTCCAAAAATCAAAAAAGGCACAACATCGACGCAACATCTCACTACATATATTGGCATGAGCTTTTTGTGAGCCGAGATTCATTATATCGATAATTTGAGTTTTTATTCTATTAACGTTAGAGAAAAAAGGCAAGCATGTGCCATTACATTGTTGTCATGTTTTTCTTTTACTAGGTACATTTTGTACATCCGAAGAAGAGGTGGAAACGCGTACTGTATCGAAACAAAAATTGGCCACTTCCACTTTCCAACGTCTTAAGAGAAAAAGAGACCAAGGTGGTATATTTTGGGTTTGAACTTTAGCCACCGGCTTTGTGCATGTTGTTAACAGTCCCAGAAAAAAACGTTTTGTTAATTTAAGATGTCTTTGTTGTAAATGTTCCTTTCCAATTGGCTGAAATCTTCAGGCTATTTTTTTTATAATTTACTCGCTTCTGCTGACCAAATTTGGAATATTATCCCTTGATACACCAGTAATTTTTCATATCATAATCAGCAAAAAAGTTATGGCCTTTATTTTTATGTAAATATAATTTTGACTTTAGGTGGAAATTTTGTGCCGGTACTCCTTATTGAGATAATATCCGGACAGCTTGTCAAAAAGTATTTCTTCTGATCATATTTCAAGTTTGCTTTGGGTTACAGTCGCCTCTCATCACTCCTTGTCATAGCATCTGGAAACGACACCTTGCTAAAAAGCTCCGTAAATCATAATAGTCCCACAACATCGACGCAACATCTCAAAACATGTATTGACATGAGCTTGATGTGAGCCGATGTTGTTGGCCGAAATTAGTTCCATCGATATTTTGAGTTTTAATTATTTTGAAGGTACCATAAAAGACGTTTCCATATTTTTCTTTTACTAGCTACGTCAGACGAAGAGGTGAGAAAACCTACTATATCCAAGAAAAAGTTTCGCCAACACTTTAAGAGGAAAAAAGATAAAGGTGGAATATTTTATTGTTACAGTCACCTTTCATCGCTCCTTATCGATAGTTTTCGTTCATAGTATCCGGAAACAATACCTTGCTAAAAAGCCCTGTAAATCAAAATAGTCCATGTATTGACGTGAGCCGATGTTGTTGGCCGAAATTAGCCACATCGATAATTTGATATTTTGTTATATTGAAGTTACCATAAAAACATTGTCAATTTTTTCTTTTACTAGATACGTCCGAAGAAGAGGTGAAAAAACGTAGTGTATCCAGTAAAAAGTTTCGACATCTTCTTAACAGGAAAAAAGGTAAAGGTGGAATAAATTCTAAGTGGAATACAAGGGGGAAATATTATGGAACAATCTACCTTAAAACTTGAGAAATCTGTAATCTTAAGACCGATTTAAGATATCATACTTTATTATTCAACTTCACTCAACAGAATACAAATAACGCTAAAAACGAGTAAAAATATCTCACGGTATTTGTTCTTCAGAGGACCGGTTTGACCGGTTTAAATCTACGAACGTCGAACATGGCAGAAAATACATCGTTTTCCGATAAAAAGAATAGCGTAATAGAAGCCACATTTTAAACTTAAATAAAACCGAGTTTCTAGATTAAAGTTGCCCAAACAACAATGAATTGTCGATATTTATTAAAAATAGACAAAACTTTAGCAGCTCAAGACACAACAAAGAAGATGAAAACAGACCTGAATGTGTGTAATAGGCGATGTTGATGGCGACAATCCGTGAAACGATAACGTCCATTAAATGCAATCAGGGGCACCCAACGAGAATATAGTGCAAAACCACCTAAACATAGCACTCTTAAACGTATTTTAGTATTTAAACGGTAGATATAGGCATATTTTTATCCCCTAAAAATTTTTCATCTGTTCGGATTTCCTAGCTGAAAGCCTAGTGATCCGAAAATTCTAGGGATCAAAACTTACCTTTTCGAAAATTTCATCCAGAAAAAAGGCTCCCGAAAATTCTAGGTGACCTTTTTAGGGTAAAAATCCTTTAAAAATAGGCAATTATACCATTTTTTTGATGTTCGAAAATCCTAGGAGAGGCAGGCGAGCAAGAAATTTTACAACAAATGTTCCGAAAATTCTAGATCTAAAATCGTCTTTCGAACAGATATTCTTCCGAAAATTGTCGTTGGGTGCCCCTGTACAATCCCCGCCGAGGAAGTGAACGGTCTTCAGCTCTAGTTCTATTAAAATGTGAGGAAACTCAACATGCTAGACTTAAGAAGTTCTGATTTTGTCACTAGAAAAACCCGGAGAAAATGAGGTTTGAAGTTCTTTGTTTACGAGTAGCTCTTTGAAACGCCTTACATTTGTGGGAGAGTTTTCGTCTTTCCATCGCAATTTGCCCTGCTCAGTTTTTCTACTTGCAGTCCATTTTACGTAAAAACCGAAAGACTATCATAAGCCTCACCCATCTGTCATTCCATCTCTGTTTTCAGTTCGTAGCAAATGTTTCGAAACGCCGAAGAAAACCTGAAAAAAATGATTTACAAATAAACCAATTTGACAAGTTTTCATTTCTGAGCAATAAACAAAACCCTTGCATAAAGCGCGCGAAAACTCGACTTGCATAGGAGTCACGTTATTTGTCACGTTAGCATGTCACGCATTCTCGTTATATTTTACTGCGTTTTTTTTTATACCCTTCGAGTTGAATATTAAATCTCTTACTGAACGGTTCAGTGTGTAGTATCCTGGGATATTTTTACTCGTCTGTTGTATTTTGGAGCGTGACTCGTAAAAATATCCCAGGATACTATACACTAAACCGTCCAAAAGGATATATGTATCACTTACAGTAAGAATTCCAAACATTGACAAGTTTGCATAATATTTCATAAAAGTTGATAGTGTGTATGGTCGTGTTCTATTGGGAAAAACCGTTTTGGTTGGTTTGGTTGATCAGCTTTTTCAACCAACTCAGAACTTGGTTGAAATGGTTTAAAAACAATGGGTATCGTGCGCTAAATTTTTAGCAGGCATCGATTTTAAGTGTTGTGTCATTTTTTCGCGAATTTCTCGCTTAAAACTTCGTATGAAATGCGCGCGTGGATCTTACGAAAAACTTGAAAACAAACAACAATAGCGGTCTGTATGCAACTTTAAATGCACTGTATAGAAGAAAGGAGAAAAGGAACGTGTTTTAAACTATAACCACTGATTCACATATTTAATAATTTACTATTAGAAGGCAACAAAGAATTTTGAAAACTCGGTCTTTGTTTTGAGACTGCCGCAAGCTTAAATTTGAAATGAATAACAGTTCAAGTTATGCAAAGTTAAGAAAACTTTATTTTCTACCTACTTATCCTGTATCCCTGTCAGCCGCCAAAACAAAAACATCTCATCCTGATTTTTTAACCCGGCGTCCCGGCGCCGATAATCGGGTATTTCTTTGTCAAAAATAGCCTATGAAGCGTGGTTCAGGTGTTCCCTTCGTTTCCAACAAAAGTTCCGCTACGTATTCTAATTCATCGTTTTATTATTTATCATTCTGCATTGGGGGATCCAGGGAAGGGACCCGGGGGGCCCGGCCCCCCTCCTTATTTTTAGACCAAACTGGGGGCCAAAAAACATTTTTTTGGAGACCGCTCCCCCCCTTTTTCTAAGGGTCTGGATGACCGCCGACGCCATTCCTCCCCCCAACCCATTTTCTCCTTATTTCAAGTTCTGGATCCGGCACTGTTCTGGAGTGTTGTTTCAGGCCACTTGTTGAAGAGGAACCGCAGCAACCATTCTGCCTTCGCGAATGGTCGATAACCTTTGCTACAAAAGTTGAGGAAATCTGGAAATGACTATACCCAGACACAACCGCGTTTCAACCAAAAACGGTTGGAAAAGTGTTCTATTGGGAACTTTAACCAAGGCAACCAAAACCGGTTTTGGTTAAGCGCCAATGTATGTCAATACATACATTGGCCAATGTCGGGGATCTCCTCTAAAAAGCTCAGCAGGGCGTGCTGAGATCTCCTGCTCATGTATGCCAACAAATACTAAATGTGCAATATGAATTTTACAATGATGATCGAATAAAGAATTGACTCTTCAATATGGATATTTTAGTGTTACAGTCACCTCTCATCATTCCTTGTCAAAAGTTTTCGTTCATATCATCTGGAAACGATACCTTGCTAAAAGGCCCGTAGATCAAAATAGTCTCATAACATCGACGCTACACCTCTCAACATGCATTGACGTGAACTTGATGTGAGCCGATGTTGTTGGCCGAAATTCGTTACATTTTAGTTTTTACTATAAAAAGCATTGTTGCCATATTTTTCTTTTACTATATACTTCCGACGAAGAGGTGAAAAAACGTAGTGTATCCAAGAAAAAGTTTCGCCAACTTGTTAAGAGGAAAACAGATGAAGGTGAAAAATTTTAGTGTTACTGTCCCCTCTCATCGCTACTCATCGATACTATCGATACTTTTCTTTTAAAGCATCTGGAAACTCTTCTTTGCAGAAAGCCCCGCGAGCTGATGTTGTCATCAGCTCAGCTCATTATAATAAAATTACCATAAAAACATTGTTGTCATGTTTTTCTTTCACTAGATACGTCTGCAGACAAGGTGGAAACACGTACTGTATCCAAGAAAAGGTTTCGCCAACTTCTTAAGAGGAAAAAAGATAAAGGTGGGACATTTAAGTGTTTGAATAGTAGCCACCGGTGATCTTGTGCAGTTAGTTGTAACTCCTGGGTTTGTTTTCGAGAGGCAAAGTCATAGTCACAAGTGATATAGTGGGCGAAACAGTAGAACTGAAGATTTGTGGCTTGAACTAAATAGAATACCAAAAACAAATGTAGTAAATACAGGAGAGAAAAAAAGAGTTGAGAAAGAGGAGAAAAAATGCATAGCTAGGGTGCTCTCCAATTATGCTAGACCGGTCCGACAGAGAAGAGTGCAAGTAGCCGAAGAAAATTGGAACCACGTTCCTCGATCAAAAGAAACTTCGAGCGGACCGCATTTAGATTAGATTTCGAAGCAGTTATTTTCGGTTGGACCGGACCGACCTGGACCAAAAAGAACCAGGTCCCGTGGTGGACCGCTTTTTGCTGAAAAAATTCCACTCGAACTCTGTGTTCTGACCCGGAATTTCCTGAAAGTTTGGCACAATGGAAAGCACTCTCAGTTTGCCTGTTCCATTTATTGATTCGCACCAGTGAACCGGAAACATGATTCCCTGCAGGTTAATGTCATTCCTTCGCAAAAAAATGCCCTCCATTCTCTTTTATTTTCATACAATTTGTTGTGGCTGCAGTTAAGAAGGGCATCCCATCGAATGACGAGCTGGAGTATCTGTCACTGGAAATTGCACAGTGGGAAAAACTTGGGCGTCGGCTAAACTTTAAAAACTCAGAATTAAAAGCATTTCACAAGGAAAACGAAGAATGGTCTGAGAAAGCGTTTGCAATGCTATTGAAGTGGAAAGAAAAGAATGGTTCCCATGCTACTTACCGATGTTTACGTAAAGCGCTCTGTCATGACTTTGTGAATCGAAAAGATTTAGCAGAAAAATTTTGTTGTAGATAATCTTAACCAGAAGTTTAACTGAAGTGTATAAATGAATATTAGAGGTGAGATTTTCAAACATTTTTCCATGTTCGAAAGCATTCAGCTTAATTAAAACCTAAGCATTTGCACCAGCAAGTTTTCATTGATGGAGTAAATTGAAAGATGTGGAAATGGTTTCTAAAATTGTCAAATTTTTATATTTACACTATCAAGGAATACTTGTCATGGAAAACGTTCCATTATAATGGTAACCTGTAAAGGGAGATGGGGGAGGGGGGGGGGCCTTGCCGCACCTAGTTTCCCTCTCTCGTCTAACAGAGGTAAAGCAAGCGTATTGTAGAGTTTAGGACACTTTTTTGTAGTGACAACTTGAAAACTAGTGTACAAAGTATTATTTGTGTACACGACAACTCTGTAGCCTTTTTGAAATGCTCATTTTCTTGGGCGTGCGCCTAACACAGTTACGCGCAAGAAACGCGTTCAATTTGGGGAAAACAAAGTTAATCGTGGAATGCTACAATCTCTGTCACGCAGGCAACACGGAAAAGATAGGGCTGGGGGCGTTTACTCTCCTATAGTTTTTCGTTTAAGAAAAAGTGTTTTATCTACCAAAAACAAGGCATTTGGACTACCTTCATGCTCTTTTAACCCCCAAAAGTTAGTTAGACACATTTATATAGAACGTATTTTTTACTATTGCAACGCAATCATGGAGGTGCTGAAAAACAGCAGGAATAAAAGCATAAGCCTAAGCGCCAGCAAAAGCGTAAGAAGTTTTAAAATATATGGCACTTTGTTGTGCTTGGTCTTTTGATCTTTACCCACTTTCCTTTTTCGACTTAAAGGTAATTCACTTTTGCTCGTAGATCATTTGCAAAGTTGAGGTCTTCCTAGCTGTTTGTTATTTTCTACTGTTCGCCTCAACCTACCCTAGAACTGAGAAAATACTATGTATAAATGTAGGAGAGGCTTTCGACCCTCTGAATCCTTGTTATTTAATAAAGAAAGACATTGGGCTGAATTCTTGAAGTGTTCATCCTTTTATTGATCCTTTCATTGAAACTGTGGTGAAGAGGAGGGCTTCAGCTCGGATATAAATGTGTTGGCTTACACAGAACTCCCTTTTATATTTTTCTCAGTGAACAGATTTAAAGCGGGATGAAATACACATAATTTTAACAAGACATTTAACGGAAGCTAGCGGACGTGGTGTAACAGAATTAATAATATACACGAAAAAATTACTCAATTCTGATTGGCTGTGAAAGGAGTGCAGTTCTTCTGTAACACGAATGCAAAATGGTTTCTGATTGGATGAAAACGCAAAAGAAACCACCAAGAACCAATCAGAGTTTAGCTGTTTTAACAACAAAATTTAAGAAAATGGCCGTGGTTTTCTGCAAACAACGATTTGATTTTGTACGCAAAACAACAATAGAAAAGTTAAAAGAACATTCCAAAAACCCGAACACGGTAAAAAGTACGTCTTTCTGGCTAAATAGGGACCTTAGGATCCGACAACGGCGACGTCCCTAAAACCTTGCTGGAAAATAGTCGCCGCATCCTGTCAAACCATTTCCCGATTATCCCAAGTCGCCCAGTTACTTAAAAGAAGGGAATTTATGTTAGAGCTGAAGAGAGGGGGCCGAACCTAAGTTCAGACAGAGATGGTAGAATTTAACTCCTTGCCGTTCCCGTCCTAAAAAAACCTTAAAATTTGGTCATTTCACGTCGTAGTCGTGCAGGCATGGCAAAGAAATAAACAAAAAAAGCGTGATGCACGTGCAGAGCTGTTGCTTTGCTAACTAAACCCATTGCTTTTTGACTTTGCCGGTACCGTCGCCGTCGTAGTTTCGTAAGGTCCCTAATGTATTGAAAATGCGGTGGTAAGAGAAAAATACTGTCAACAAAAGCGAGGAAAATCAGCCAGAGAAACTAAACAAGCTGCTTATAACAGACTACGCTAAGATAAAAAATAAAGAACAAAAACGGTGGCAACCACACGCAAGCCATGACAGCTACACTTTTCACGTATTTAAATGAACAAGGATATACGTTTTCCATGATAACAACAGGGAAACAGGGATTTCAAGTCACGTACGTTATTTGTTGCAGGAGAAAAGTGTCCGGTTGTCTCTTTAAGTCTTTTGTCCAGTGAGGACCTCTATTAAAACACTGGCCATGCGACGGTCTGTTTTTTTCTACCTCAGTAGCAAATGAAACCGAAAATTTAAACATCAGATTCAAACTAAACCAATGGGCGAAAATACCATAACTAACATAATGAAAGTATCCGTAGCTGGTACTAGCCTTAAACAAAGTGAGAAAAAAGTTTACGAATCATAGGGCAAGAAAAACAACAGTCAGCAAGCTGAAGAAAGCAAAGATTGTAAGTTCAGGAGTCATCGCCAATGTCACAGGCCACAGAGGTATAAATTTCCTCAACGACTACGATGAAGCCGACGAACAAGAGCGACGATGACTCTCTCTTGCAATAGGCCAAGGCCAAATGAAATAATGAAAACCTCAGCGCTGAGAAATGCAAATATTATATTTAACAATTATGCGCCGAAGGCTCAGTAAATATTGTTGAATAATCCCAGAGACGAAGTCGAGGGGATTATTCAACAATATTAACTGAGCCTAAGATGAATAATTATTGTTTTAGTATATACGCACGAAGTGATCTCAACAGAATCAGAAAGGAAACCATGAAAGAAGTGCACGCCCTACGGGATTGTGCACTTTTTTTGGTCTTTGAAAACTTTACTCCTGCTTATTTATTCCAAATTGCACTCGAAATCATATGATTACTGTCTCTAAGCATATGGCATACAACCCCCCTCCCCCTTAAAAAAGAAATTTTAAAAACGCATTCGAACGTAGCCAATAATATTCTTCTTCTACATTTCTCTGAAGATATCTCCTTTTGGCGAGCAGCTTGTTTCAGAAACGGCGTATTAAATCTGAAAAAAAAGCTGATGCTGCATAAAGAAATCAAACTGAAATATCCACAATGGAGGGCTCTCAGTCTCTATTTGTCTCTAAATAACCGTAAGCGTAAAATCGGCACAGAACTTTCTTGTGATCCAGGTATGCAATAAGATGGTAGGATGACCAGGTGTATTATACGAGACAGGTGAAAATTGGGGACCACATTATACACACCCAAACGATGCGGACTAAAATATGTTTCTAACGGTATTTTGAGTTTCAATTCCTTGATGAGATTCTTTGCAATAGTTCCTTCGTTTTCAGATATTGTAATTTAACACCTTTATCAAGACCTGACCGATGAACAGGAGAAAAAAGTAAATGAAATTCTAGCACGACAAATGCAAGTGTACCTCAAATATCGTAAAATGAGTGTCTTGCGTGGTTGAACATATGCAGGAGACGTACAACTTGGCCTTCAAATCCGTGGATGTGGGATAGCAGCATGGAGGTTTCTATTCCAGCTAGGGCAACTCGCCCATTTCGTCCCAGGCTCAGGATTACTACAACTTTTCGTGTTGCCCTGGTGTAGGGAGAGACCGCATAATAAAAAAGCAAAGCAGTCTACTAACACTACACGGCATCTTTTTAAAACGAATAATTAATTTTGTCAAAATACAGACGGAATCTGCTCTAAACTAGTGTAATTACGATCTACTAGAGACACTCCAAGATGCACCGGACCTTTAATTGAGCTCTTTTGTGAGTGGGCGGGGGGCTTTACTTTTGAGAAGGCAATTATCAATTCTTTCCCAGCAATGAAAGAGGGGAATTCTGCAAGAGCGACGAGTATTGCAAGAGTTTGGTTTTTATATTCAGATTGGGGTCATAGATATTCAAGCACAAACCGTTTATTTAGGATAATAAGGTTAGGATAATTGCGCGATCTTCTTGAGTTGTACAACTATTTAATTTTCTCCTTCATGTTTTGTGTTTTGTTATCTAAACAGTCCACGAATAAGAAAAAGTATCACTTTAATGTTTATGGCTTCCGTCGAGGAATAAATTCATACTTTTGTAGCAAAACTCTGTAACAAATGTTTCTGTTGATTTCCGTCCGCCATTTCGGTGTCCATCCGAATGTTTTAGGACCAGGGTAATTTTCCGCCGTTCCGCCATTTTGGCATTCCACCGTTACAACTCTGCTCTAACCTAATACAGTGGAACCCCGTTAATGCGACCACCGTTGGGCCGTAAAATCCTGGTCGTAATAACGAGGTGGTCGCATTAACGGGGTCCTCAAAATAATAAAATGACTCAATGGTTTTTACGTTCGGTTTGAAAGAATATGGCCGTAATAACGAGGTGGTCTTATAAACGGGGTGGTCGTAAGGCGGGGTTCCACTGTAGAGAGAGCTTCGCGTACACGGCAAACGACAAACATCAGAGTCAAGTTGAAAATTTATCAAAATAGAAAATGCGCAGATAAAAACAGCTCAAAACAATTTTTATGGATAAAAATTGCGTGAAACTAGCAATTTATGAGGTACGTTATAGGAAATGTGGAAGTGGCGTATAGAACGTTTTCACTCACGTGGCCAGCATCTATGCAAATGTATTGAAACAAAAGAAAATGTTTGCGAGTTTAACTTCCATAGGACTGGTTTGGGACACCAACATGGCCGCCGTTTCATTGTTTTGGGACACCAATATGGCGGCCTTGACGTCATGTGAAAACACTCTGTTCCGTGTGTGAATGGTAGTGGTCACCTCTTCTAAACTGCAATCGTATTAAACCTTGTCTTTCCAGTATATTTTTTAGACCATTCGCAGAATGCTAATGTAAGTTCCATCTGGCTCTTTTCTTCTTTTTCGGATATGCTCAGTCTTAATAACGGCTCTAAACGTGCACTTCCACCCCTAGCCTAAGGGAGACAAGCGAAGGGGCAGCGAACGATCTCGGACATCTGACTCCAGACATATATTTGTCGTTTTTTTTTTTACCAAAAATGCCTTACCTTGCGAGGACAACACAGAAATTATACATTGTTGTCCTAAGCTGAAAACTGATTGAAAAAAAAAAT